AGTGTGTGAGTGGCGATTACAGACAGGTGAGGATTGGCGCCAAAATAGGAGGGCCAGGTATCTCCCACAGGCTCCACTGGAGAGGAGATAGGGAGAGAGAGGGAGAGAGAGAGAGAGAGAGAGAGAGAGAGAGAGAGAGAGAGAGAGAGAGAGAGAGAAACAAAACTCAAATGCACCAAGCAATCCACATTCACCCAAATGCAAAAATACAAAAACTTACTCTCCCAAACCGGATGTCACAGGCAGGTGTCATGGCAGGAGAGTCGTGGCAAACTGCTGCATTTTGTTCACCAGCTAGTTACTAAATGTGTCGTTCTATTGTTTGGGGCTGAGCAGGAAGTGTATAGTGGGTTCATCAGAACTTTTTTGTTGAAAGCCACCTGTTGTGACTGGAAACTGAGCTGATGAGAGCAGCGAGAAAAACAATTAGCTAAAAGACACCATAAAGCTCTGTAGCGCTAAAGGGAACAGCAGAGTTGGGTAATAATTCTTTGTGGGTTTGTCACTATAAGCGACCCCTTTCACGTTACACATAGTCATTAGATTAATTGCTAATATATAACAACGTTAAGAAATTCTGGTGCCTACAAAGTCAGGGCTCTGTGCTCTCTGACCTCACTACAGTGGCCAGTTGTGTAAATCTCTTGAAAATGTGCTCTTGTATGGACATGGGAGCACCACTTAGAAGCACTCAGACATTAATGGCCTTTGGTAATATGAACTCTAGATCAGGAAAGAAACTGATCTTTCTGTTGTCTGGGAATCATCTGAACTGATTGATCTTGTACCAATAAGGACCAGAACATCCCCTCTCTCCCACTGAAATCTATGAAACTAAGCGAAGCAACAGGTCATATTTTTTGCGATATAGACTGTTATCTGACATTGATGCTCTCTTTGTTAAGGAAGACATATTGCATGTCACAAAAAACCAGAACTCTCACAAGGCCATTAGGTCATAAAGGGTCTGCACCCATCCTCTTACTGTAAAACACTCCCATCAAGGTAACTGACCATTATATCCATCCACCCTTTTAGCTACTTCAGCCCTGTTCTGTTCTATTATACTCTGTAGAAGCAGTAAACACAGAAACCACAGTAAACAGGTTTGGCTTTGTGCGCTGACGTACAAAGCCTTGCTTCACGTGTACATGAATCTACACAATCACACACACACACACACACACACACACTTGGCAAAAAAGCATTCCAGTGCAGTCATTTTCCCACCCAGATTAGGACGAACACTTAAAGTATTAATGCTTACCATCACTAAGCCCAAAACACACACACAAACTTCCGAAAGCAACAATTCCCATAATACTCACCATTACATTACGACTGTAACAATAGGAAAGGATTGGCTCCGAAATGGGTCTTATGTGGATAAAAGAACAGTGGTTTGTCCCTATTTGTACTTCTGAGTCTCAGCAGATTTAGCTACTTTGAACATTTTCCTTTTTCAGAACTCAAGGGTTCAAGCTACCTAAATTTAAAGCTTGGAATATTTCTAAATAGAGGAAAATATCATTTCAAGAAATAATTTTGCTCTGGAGACAGCAATGACAGTGTCTGATTAAATTGTTCTTAAAAAGACGCCCCTCAGAGCTGCCAGCAGTAGTAATATATAATTAATGAACTCAACAGTTACACTTAAATAAAGAATTTCAAATAAGGCATTTCAGTGCAGAAAAAAGAGAGCGTCTGACAAAGCATCAAGTCAGTTGCTTTTTTCTGCTGAGGTTAAATGCCTTGGTGGTGTTTCAGGTAAATCCTTTTCCACACAGTTTTTGGCATGCTTACGCTTGTGTTTTTCTTGTCAGGTAGAATTTAGCTACTCTTAAGTGGCAATATACAACACCCTGCTGTGCATTTCTGGCAGATATCTTCATATTCTCATTCACTCATCAGGGCTGCTGTAGCTGCTCTATCACATGATTCAGAATGGTGAACACTTTCCTCCTGTCTTTTTTTCCCTCAAGGGGTACAGTCTAGTTTTCAACATAAACAAAATAAATCTCTGAATCTGCATTGTGAGATTTTATTGGCCCTGACTACAGAACCTAGCAAGCAAATACTTGCAGTATGTTCAGTGGACGTCAGGTCTCTTGTGAGGACGGATGCATCAGAGGTGTACTGTGCTATACTGTAAACAAGCAATTTTCACAATTCATTTTTACTTGTGCATGGACATAATGGTCATAGTAAACGTGTAATAAGCAGTGTGGATATGGGTAACTAACTAACATGTTATAGCTCGTTTGTTTTCACACTAATCCCATGTAAAAACCACAACTTTTTACACTTTTTGTATGGATTAAACATAAAATTATTCTAAGGGATTCTAAACTATTCCTTAAAGATAAATTGTCTGTAAGCTATATAAAAATATAGGCATATATTAGCGATGGGGATTTATAAGCAGATGAGCAAAACAATGATGTGAATTAAGAAAGAAAACAGGTGTAATAAGAGTGACTAGCACCAAAATAATGACATTGGACACAGCTCTATTGTCTGCTCATTAAAAATTTAAGTCATGAAGTTTCTGCTTCCATTTGACCCTCCTCAAATAAACTACTAGGATATGATGAGGGGATTTTCTAATTTCATGCTTCTGTTTCTATTTTAAGGAATTTAACCAAAATTCCTCAAGGCAGCAAACAACTTAAAACAACCGACTTAACATTGATTTAACCTCCATCACACAGTGAATAAAACTGATCCCAGAAGTAAAAGTAAAAACTGTGCAAGAGCCACACTGGATTGAAAAAAGCAACTAGTGTGCAAAATAAGTATTAAAACTACTGGGCAAACTTTCCCCCAATCCCTCTGAGTAAATCAAAAAGGCATAGCGGATTAGTACACTGTCGCAAAGCTCCTATTGACCTAGAAGTATGTGTGTTTTTCACAACTAAATTAGGAAGCACATGTGTATTTTATTACGTGTGTGTGTTTGTAAGTGTGTGTGTGTGCGTAAGAGCGCTTAAGCTCCAATCATATCGGTGCACCTAATCCCTTTACATGGGCCTTCATACTTGAGAATGAAAGCTCACCATCGGTCTCAGTTGAAGATCGTCAGAGTGAAATCAATGCATTCCTGGGTTAATCGAATGCATGGCATATACATTAGAGATAAAATTAGAGCGTCAAGCACTGACAGGCAGGTGGGAGGAGGAGGAGTGAGAGGAGAATGAAAGAAAGAGAAAAACTGTGAGAGGGGAACAGGTGCGTGTGGACACGATGAACAGTTTAACCACAAAGAAAGGAAGTAAAGAAGGGAGGACGGCGAGATGGGGAACTGCCAGTGCCTTTAAGAATCAGATTTGGGGAAGAGAAATTTCTGTTCTGAAAATCCTCAGCCACCGCCCAACCGCAACATTAAGCCCTGGTGACACACACACTCACAGGCACACTCACACACGTACAGGCTGTGCTTTTAAATCAGGACTTCCACCGGGCACAGATTCATCTGGAAATGATTTTGCCAGGTACAGAGAGTTGGCAGAAGTTAGTTGTTTTTTTTTTTCTCACATGAAAACCTCGTCTTATCTCCATTAAACAGATGTACATGTTCCTCATCGCTTCATGTCAATCGCAAAGTAATATGTTGTGTGTGTGTGTGTGTGTGTGTGTAAAAGACAGAGACACAGAGAGAGAGAAAGACAAAAAGTGATGTGGCTGCGCATCAGTCAGCTCTCATTTCACAACCCAGCATTCACCAAAGCCTCTTACACAGGCCACAGCACTTAACAAAACCCCTTCATACACCACACACACACACACACACACACACACACAAATCCAAAATAATTTCCCCCATCGCCAATTCCTTTCATATCTTGATTGTACCTTTAGGGCTTGGAAGGTCTCACACACAAACACACACACCAATCCACCAACACACCAGCGCTGACAAACTAGAAAACTTGAATCGAGCAGTCCACGCATCAGGAACAAATTTCCATATCACTCTTTTATTCTGTCCCTGGGTTCCTGCTCTTGGCCTCTCATTTATCTTTTTCTCTATTCATCTAAATGATGAATGGAAATAAACATGGAAGAAGGACAGGACAACATGAAAAAGTTTTGAATGAACTTCAGATTTCTAAAAACATATGTGGATTTTATATTCCCTTTCAAACATCAAGAGAGAAGCAGTGCCTTACTTTGTGTTGTGGTGCTTTTCTGTCTTTGTCTATGTGCAGGCAACAGATGCTCAAGACATCCTTGTGTATACTACTTAATTTTAAAAACATGTGAAGATCATGATAATCTGGGTGAGTGACTTTCCAGTGCAGTCCAACTGTTTCCAAATTGCTTTGCCTTTATCTGCCTGGTTACAAAGAAAGTCCTTCAATAAATGAAACTATAAAATAGGGCTGTAATGTGTATTTAACAATTTATTATTCAGCCAATTATTTCCACAACTAATTTGTTCATTTGGGCCATAAAATAGCATAATATAGAGACATAAGTTCATCACAAGTTTTAGAGGCCAAGGTGATGTCTTCATATTTCTTAACAACAGTCAAAAACCCTAAAGATATTCAGTTTACTATAATGTCAGACAAGGAAAGGCAGAAGAATCTCACATCTGAGAAGCTGGAACAGAATGATCAGTCATCAAATAACTAAATTATATAATAGACTAAATGTTTAAGGTATTCAAAGAACATTTTAAATGTATGTTAATATAAAAAATATATATAATAATATAATATAAAATAACACTTAACTTAGCTTTCAGGTCAGTCTGATGCAATAACAGTTCTACATACCCTGTAAAATTGACAACATAATTGTTTTTATTCAGCAGTAATTAGTCAAAGCAAGCTGGAAATTGTGTGTTTAACTTAAATTTTTACAATATTTACAAAGTAATTTAAGCTGTTGAGTGATACATCTTACTAATGTATAATCTTTGGCATGATGGTGCTGGCGCCACTGAGCAGGCAGAGCAGAGGCAGCAGACAGAAGCTGCTTCTGACTTTTTTTACTTACCACTTCTGTTAGTGCTAGCTACAGGCTAGCTAGGAAACTGTTCATTTAACTTGTTAGTTATTTGTCTAGTTAGCAGATAACGTTTGTTGTTTTGCTTGTCAGACCTTTCTGTGGATATTGTTTCAGTATTTACTTTTATATCACTATTCCAGAAGCCAACTGAGGAGGAACTTAACCCAGCTAAGGTAACAGCTAGCTAAAGTCGGCTATACTGTAATTTAAGCTAGCTAAACTCAGCTAAAAATTGAAAGAAACATAGCTAACTTCTGATGAGGTTGATTTAATGTAATCTAAATGTTTTTATATACTATTTAGCTTTCAGTACTATTACATAGTAATATTTCTTGCCACTTAGCGTTAATATTTTTGTCACTATAACTTTATTCAGGTCTGGCAGCATGTCAGGTGCTTTGCTGTAACTACCTCTTACGTTACCTCTTAAATTTTTTTGCTGCTCTTTTTGTTTTCATTCATGTAAGACACTGTTGTGTTACACTTTTTCAAACTTTAATATAACTTAATTTTGATGCCAGTGTGGCTCATTACACATACATGTGCTTTACAGTATGCCAGTGAATGACTTCATCTGAACAAACACCAACCCAATAAGGGTGTGGCAAACAGAAGCTGTATTATTTAGGTAATTGGATTGCATTTATATATGTTAACACAGAGAGAGAGAGAGGTGTAAGAGATGATGCAAGATCAAAGGTTGGGTGAAAGATGTGCGATCTGGGTGGTGAGAAGGACAGAATTTGGATTAGAAGAGAAGAACTGAGTCGGAGACAGATGAGAAGGGCAGAAGATCAAACGGCGCACACACTTTAACACAATATGCCCTCTATTACTGGTAAACTAGCACTTCTCTGTGAACATAATAACAGAGCAGGGTTTCAGGACAGTGGATTTAAGAGCATGGGTGATAAAGAGTGCTCAGAGCTCAGCTTTCGATCGGAAGGGATTAGTTCTGTCAATGGCTTTTGCTCTGATAAGAGTAGTCCAGGCCTTGGGGTGTTTTCCATAGGACGTGATGTTGTTTCTGCCTCTACTTTGAGTTTACATCTGGTGTGGTGCTGTTGGTCCATTAGTCTTTGTGTGTGTGCAAATCCTGTGACAGACAAATGATGTAAGGCAGGCCTAGTGGCAGATTTATGGCAACATGATGACAGGAAGTTGAAATACTCCATCCGTCTTTAAATGAATTCATCACTCAGATACACAACAGGATTTGTCTTCTGTAAGTCCTTAGAAATGTGGTACCCAAACCTTGGACACGGGGCTCATTAAATCATTTTGCTTGTGTTTATTCTATTTATATCTCCAGTTCCAGCCTGTTTTAAAGTAGTTGAGCTGGGAATAAATATACACAAATAGTTGTGCACAGGTATTGGATTAGATAATCGAAGGTATTTTGCTTTAAGATGGTTAGGTCTAGGGCTGCAAGTAAAGACTATTTCCATAATTGATGAATATGTTTTTTTTAATGTTTGTATAATTTATTCTATAAAAGGTAAGAAATGGCAAAATATATTAAATTTACAGTAATAAAATCTAAATCCTTATATTTCAGAAGCAGTGAGCAGTGAATGTTTGGCATTTATGGTTGAAGTAATTTTTCATCAACTTTCGATAAACTAATGGCTTAATCTTTGCCTAAACTTTGCATTTGAGTCTATTATCTGTATGACTTGGTCCTCAAAGCAGCTATATAACAGTAGCAGTTATAACAAAAAGCTCCCAAAACGTGTATCATTGTATCTCCTAGTTTCATATTTCAGCAGTTTCCTCGCACTCTGTGGTCCTGCCTGTTCTCGCCCACAGTGGTGTGGAAATTAAATGACTAATTGTACAGAAGTCTGTCATAATATGAGCTCATTGAGGTTGCTAAATAAGGGTAGTTCAGTAATGATAATGCTAGTGGTTGGACACAATAAAAATTCACACAGGCATATGGTAAATGTTAATGATGATGACGAGGTTTCAGACCGTGTGATCGACTCTGTGAAGGATGAGGGGTTTTCCGCTCTCCGTCCCCTTGCCACATCCTCTGTATTGTATGACTGACTCTTGCCTTTTGACAGACTCACATGGGGCCCCTTCCATCAGATGAGGCTTTTGAAGCTGTAAATAGGTCACTGAAACACGTGGATATAGGCAAACTGTTTATCAAAGACACAAATCAAAAGCTCTTTTAGATCATTGTAAATTAAATATCTTTGGACTTTGGACGGATGTGCCAGTATAAAACAAGCAATTGGAAGATGTCACCTTGGGCTCTAGGAAAGTTAAAACATTTCCCTGTATTCCAACATGCTTAATGTGATCAGTTTTCTTTCTTCTGCTGTGTTTTCCCCGCAGGGATCGTTTCGGTTATAGTCTGGTCCTTGCATCTTAACAGTGTAAGGCTGCATTGTCTGTTTTAGTGGACTTCTGCCAGTGCATCATTTAGCTCTCATTTTCAGCCACGAAATATCCCATTTCATTATTGCACAAAACCTACTTTAGTAGTCACTTTTTCACATTAGCTCCTCAGAAATCAGGAAAACCCCTGAGTTATGTTAAAACCGAACAATTTATAACCTAGATTCTTACATAATTTTCCATGTTTATCATAGACTATTTTATTCATTCATTCACAGCGGTGCTTACTGCTCATGAGTGTAACTAATGTACTTTACTGTTGTTGACTGCATGGGGTGATTATCATTACAGGGCTATGGTCTGTCATTATGTCCATGTTTTCTTTTTGCTTATTTTGGTAATTAATGAATGGGTGAGAGGGGTGCTGCATTTGACATGTGAAAGTAGGACTTTGCATAATTTTTCTAACAAAACATGACATGTAAGAGATAACCTTAAGGGCAGAATACGTCATACGCATCATTGGAATAAAATGTTCCCTTAAAAGCTTTTACTCCATTATTGAAGGCTGTAGTATTTTGTGTTTGTTGCTTTTAGATGTCAATGGACAACAGAAAGAGGCCAGCAGGTTCCTCCAATTCTGGCAACTTGGTTTACTGGTCTTCCTCGTTTCCACGGCAACCTGCCAGGGTCCTGATCGTGGAGGCACTGCCACCCTGGTGGTCAGACACCTGTACGGTGCTCTGTGATGCTCTGGATAACTTCCTGTCCCTGGCCTGTAGTCTGGATGGACCCTGTAGGATACCACTACTGAGCCTGTATGCCGTCAGCAGGCAGCAGGAATGTCTTCTGCCCTTTGTGGTAAGATAGATGAAGGTGAAGAGTTTCTAAGAGCTGTCAATGCTTTCTCTCGTTCCTCCTCTCACCCCTCTTCCCTTCCCACTTTATCTCTCACATAAATTCCTCTTTCTTCTCTGTCCTTCTCTATTTCTAGCAGGTTCGTGGTAACCTGGCCAGGCTACGTTCATGTGTGGAGGAGCTGAGGTCCATTCCAGGTGAAGGTTGCATCAGAGGAGCAGCCAGAGGAGGCGAGCATCTGCGACAGGCCGTGCTGGACAGTCTGCAGCAGTTTAAACAATACATCAGACATACTAGTACTGGCAACCAGGCCAGCAACAATACGTCTGTCGAGGTGAGCAAAGATATACTCTCTACATGCACAACAAACATGACAAGAAAATGATTTTTAAAAAAAAACATATTTTAAACAAAATAAGTTGTTGGTATTTTTCAGTTAGCTGCATTTATGTGGGGTAAAATTTGGTTACCTTGGTTTTTATCTGCAAATTGTGCTTATAGAAGCAACGGCACTCATGTTGCCCCTCACAATAAATTTGTACAGAAACTAACAAAAGCAAAACAAAAGAGACTTGTGAATCATCCCGATGGACTTTTAAAAAGACATGCATCTCTGGTTGACTGTAAATGGCTGCAGAATTAACCTATCACAGGCTGAAATAATACTGGTGTAAATAAAATCAAATTTGGTGTGTTTTACGAGGATTTCCAACTGTTTTTGAATACAGTGCTGAAAGCAAATGTCAATCACTCACCGGTCTGCACATTTCATGTCACAAAGCTTAACGTTAAGTACTGCTTCAACTGCGGCATAAGAACAAGTGATGCTGGGAATTAAACCCAGGACCTCCAACATGCAAAGCACACATTCTATCACTGAGCTACATCTCCCCACTGTTAAAATGAGCCGGCTACTGTTCAGAACGATGGAAACAATAGGAAAATTGATGAATTTGAATGGTCGGTAAAGAACAACGTAACGCTTCAGCAATGATCACTTCCAGTTACCAGCTCTATAACTAGAAGTGGAGATGCTGGGGATCAAACCCAGGACCTCACACATGCAAAGCATGCACTCTACCACTGATCTACATCCCCTCACAATGTGTTATCATCCTTACCCTCTACTACAAATGTTGAGAGCTGACTGCCTCCTTTAAGGATGTTTTCGGTTAGCAGGTATTCAGACCCCAAAACAACCTGCATTAAAACAGAGAAGGGGGCAGCATTGTTGCCACTGGACAGTGGAAGTCCAGTGTGAGTAACAAATGCATTTAAGAGCTGAGGAAAAACTAAACATAAAAAGTGCTCTTAGAAGTGGTCAAGTGTTTAAGCTTCTGTGCCAAGGCTTTTCAGTGAATTATCATTTTCCAGTGGTCAACAATGCTCTGCTTCTTCCTTATAGGTGAAGGAAGGCTTTAACAAAGAACAAGTCTGAACTCTGTGCATCATTGTGCCACAAGAAGTGGAGATGCTGGGGATTGAACCCAGGACCTCATACATGCGAAGCATGCGCTCTACCACTGAGCTACATCCCCTGCCAAAGCTGCCTTACCCTCTACAACAAAAGTTGAGAGCCGACTGCTTTCTTTAAGGGCCCCTAACACAGTTGGCCAGATAGTTTTCAAAACGACATGTTTGCTCTAGTCACCCTGCGATGGACTGGCGACCTGTCCAGGGTGTACCCCGCCTTTCGCCCAATGTCAGCTGGGATAAGCTCCAGCCCCCCAGCGACCCTGTACGCAGGATAAGCGGCTGACGATGGATGGATGGATGTTTGCTCTAGTGTTTTCATTTTTCTAAAGATCGCAATCTAAATGGAAACATTACCAAGGAATTTGCTGAATGTAGTGGAATTGTCCATTCAGTTCAGTGTAGTGCCAGAGCAAATTGATGCCATTGTAGTCAATGTCAAACAGAAAGTGCTGCATCTGTCCTGCAACCTTTCAGCTCTCTGAGCTCACGCCAACGAGCCAGTCTGATATTGACTCTTGTCCCTCTCTCTTGTTCTCTTCCTCGCTTCCTCCTCTCAGCCTCTGCCATGATATCCAGACTGAGAATACCGAGGTAGCTTCTTCCAAAGAACTTACATTGTACATTAAAATCCAGCTATTTGAGTCAGGATAAGGCCAGTATCCGATATCAGTTTTGGATCTGTGCCATCCTTAATAAATTCCACCTGTGAACCAGGCAAAGAAAAAGCATAATCAATGTAGCTTTCTTTGATCAGTGTCATCTTCACTTGATGTTAATGTGAGGAAGATTTATATTTGTAACAAACGTAACGCTTCAGCAATGATCACTTCCAGTTACCAGCACTATAACTAGAAGTGGAGATGCTGGGGATCGAACCCAGGACCTCATACATGCAAAGCATGCGCTCTACCACTGAGCTACATCCCCTCACAATGTGTTAGTACCCTTACCCTCTACTACAAATGTTGAGAGCTGACTGCCTCCTTTAAGGATGTTTTCGGTTAGCAGGTATTCAGACCCCAAAACAACCTGCATTAAAACAGAGAAGGGGGCAGCATTGTTGCCATTGGACAGTGGAAGTCCAGTGTGAGTAACAAATGCATTTAAGAGCTGAGGAAAAACTACACATAAAAAGTGCTCTTTGGACTCGCAGTGGTCAAGTGTTTAAGCTTCTGTGCCAAGGCTTTTCAGTGAATTATCATTTTCCAGTGGTCAACAATGCTCTGCTTCTTCCTTATAGGTGAAGGAAGGCTTTAACAAAGAACTCTGTGGTTAATGCTGTACAAAGTCTGAACTCTGTGCATCATTGTGCCACAAGAAGTGGAGATGCTGGGGATTGAACCCAGGACCTCATACATGCGAAGCATGCGCTCTACCACTGAGCTACATCCCCTGCCAAAGCTGCCTTACCCTCTACAACAAAAGTTGAGAGCCGACTGCTTTCTTTAAGGGCCCCTAACACAGTTGGCCAGATAGTTTTCAAAACGACATGTTTGCTCTAGTCACCCTGCGATGGACTGGCGACCTGTCCAGGGTGTACCCCGCCTTTCGCCCAATGTCAGCTGGGATAAGCTCCAGCCCCCCAGCGACCCTGTACGCAGGATAAGCGGCTGACGATGGATGGATGGATGTTTGCTCTAGTGTTTTCATTTTTCTAAAGATCGCAATCTAAATGGAAACATTACCAAGGAATTTGCTGAATGTAGTGCAACTGTCCATTCAGTTCAGTGTAGTGCCGGAGCAAATTGATGCCATTCTAGTCAATTCTTTTGCTCACACCAGAAGCATCACAGCACGTCCCAGAAGCGGCTCTCCGCTTCGCTGCGCGAAGAATAGGCAGCTGGTCTATTTTTGACAGAAGACGCGTCAAGGAGCACCGAGCAGATGAGCCGGGCAGGGAGTCAGACACAGAAACGGCAAAGAGAATGCGGTCGATTTTCAAAATAAAATACCATGTACACACTCCCGATCGTATATCAACAATAAACACAGTTAAAACAGACCAAAAAAGTAACAATTTAACAATATAGCCTTCTTAACCATGGTAGAAGCACAAAAATCAAGGACAACTTACCAAATCAACTAAATCTAAACAATTCAGCAAAATCAGGCAGGCAACATTCTTATTCTGAAATACTCCATGTGTGAAATTCAGCCCTGCAGGGAACTGGGGGAAAACGGTTCACAGAGCGCTGTGATCGGTTGTAGAAGCACACCAAATGACAAATAAACAACAAGTCAACAACGTGGGGCAGGCTAAACACTCTGCTGCTGAAACACTTCCAGTGTGAGTTGACGCCAGGCTGAGGACAGGTCAAAACCGTGGCGCAACTGTAATGCGGCACACATACCACCTGTGTGAGTCTGGGGTAAGCAACATCAACTCGAGATTGATGAGTGAGCGTGCTAGTGAGCGTGTATAGGAAAAATTTTAAATGTCATCAAGTACGCTGTGATGAATTTAACTCCTTTGAAGTTCTCACTCTTAAAGTTGGAGGGCTGCAACCTATCATATTTGTTATAATTTATTGCCCCCCAAAACCGCCTGGAGGATTTTTATCAGAACTTCCTGAATTTTTATCTACTCTGGTTTTAAATTATGACAGAATTGTTCTTTGTGGCGATTTTAATATTCATGTTGATGACCCCAACAATGTTAATGCAACTGACTTTTTAAATATGGCCACTTCTTTTAACTTCAAACAACATGTCAAAGGGCAAACACATAACCGTGGTCATACACTGGACTTGGTTTTTACCCTGGGTGTCAGCATTTCCTCTGTGGAATTAGTGGACATGACCATATCTGACCACAGATGTATTGTTTTTAGCTGTGATTCGCCTGTTACTCATGCCGCCTCACCAAGCTCCGTGTGTTGTCGCATCTTTAATGAACAAAGTGTTTCCAAGTTTTGCGCATTCTTTCAGAGCCAAAGCCAACACCTGTCTGATTCCAACACCAAAAATCTGGTCGATCACTTCAATCATATCTGCTTGTCGTCACTAAATATTACTGCTCCTCTAAAGGTTAGGCCTACGTCTAAAGCTAGTAAGCAACCCTGGATAAATGACAGCATTCGCAGCCTCAAAAGGGAATGCAGGAAAGCAGAGCGCAGATGGAAAAAATCCAGTCTCCAAGTCCATTACCTCAGTCTGAAGGATTTATTAATTAACTACAATAAAATGGTTAAGGATGCAAGAACACACTATTTTTCTGAACTTATTACTACACATAAACACAATCCCAGGTTTCTGTTTAAGACTGTGGATCAGCTGGTAAACCCAACCCCTCCTTGTGCCTCAGCTGGAAGTAATGATGACTGTGAATTGTTTTTATCTTATTTTACCAATAAGGTGGTGTCAATCAGAGCCTCTATTACCCCCGTGGACTCTTACTCAGAGGTCCCTCACCAGCAACAACAGAGTTTTAACCAGTTTTATCCCATCGACTTGTCTGAGCTTTTAAAAACAGTATCACAAATGAGAGTGTCCTCCAGCCCACTTGATATAATACCTACAAAATTTTTACTGAAAGTAATAGATTCTGTTGGGCCCCATTTGATCTCTGTTTTCAACAGCTCCCTATCTACTGGTTGTGTCCCTGATTATTTTAAAACGGCTTGCGTGAACCCACTTTTAAAGAAACCTGGTTTAGATCCCTCCCTCCCACATAATTTTAGACCAATTTCAAAACTGCCTTTTATTGCAAAGATTCTAGAAAGAATTGTGTCCAAACAGCTGCTCACTGTGCTGGAAAATAACAAATTATTTGAAAAGTTTCAGTCTGGTTTTAGGAAGTACCACAGCACTGAGACTGCCCTGCTTAAAGTCACCAATGAACTTTTAATGTCTGCTGAT